CAAAAAAGAAAAAAAAGAATAAGATTTAAAAAATGGATTCTAAAAGCTGAAAATGCATTTAGGTCTCAAAAACAGAGTAAGAATCAATTACATGCTTTTCTTCAAGGACTGCAAGTCCTTCCTGATACTGAAGAAAAACCTAACTCCTTCCCAATGACAGCCAAAAGGAACATCAGGACACGGGCCTTGACAGGGATAACATCCAAATGGGAAATGCCACCCACCACCTCTGAAGCCAGATTACTCCAGTCTATTTTTATCGACTAACCATTTATAAGACTTTTTTTTTTTTACTTTAAAAAATTCCATGAAGGGGGCTAACAACTCCTGCGTTATGTGTTTTGCACATATATTAAGGTAGTTTGGCCTCATAACAATCCAAAAAGGAAAGTGCCGTTATAACCCCATTTTATAAATAGTAAAACGAGGCACAGGGTGCAGCTCCTAGAGCACCAGGCGCGGGGCACGGGCTCCTAGCTCCAGGGAAGTAGCTGCCCGCGGACAACGGACACAGTCACCCCGGTGAAGCCCAGACCCACAGCCTGGAGAAAAGGGCTCACAGCCTGAGGCAAAAGCGGGCATTCCCCCCAAGATTCCACACCTGGCCAAACGACCTAGTCAAGGCCAGTCCTTGGGGTCAGATCCCACGGTGGGAGCAGCTGGGGGTAAGGAAAGGTCTCCAGAAATTGGGTAGGGGTCCCGGTGTGGGGGGTCCAGGCGGGGGTCTTGGGTTCAGCGCCGCCGTATTGGGGTCCTGGGGTGAGGAGTAAGCGTCCCAGGCGTGAGGGGCCGCAGGAGGTCCTTGTATGAGAGGCGGCGCAGTGGTCCCCGGTGTGAGAAGCCACAAGGGGGTCCCGGGGGTGAAAGTCGGGGGTCCGGAGGGGCAGCACGGGAGTCCCGGGGTGAAGGGAGGGGTCCCAGGGGTGAGGGACCGGGTCCTGGCGACGAGGGGCGGGAGGACTTAGGGGTAACGGGTGGGGTCCCGGGGTGAGGGGCCGTGCTGGGGTCCAGGGTGAGGGGCGGGGTCCCGGGGTTGAGGAACCGGGGTCCCGGGTGAGGGGCGGGTCCCGGACGCGAGAGGCCGCGCAGGGGTCCCGGGTGAGGGCGGGGTCCGGCTCACCTTCCGACAACTCCAGCTCCAGCTCAGCCAGGCTCTCCCGCACCTCGACGGGCAGCGGCGCCCCCTCCAGCGGGCACCCGCGGTCAGCCATGGCCAGGCCGGCCAGCGTCCGGGCAGAGGCTGGAGCCGGACCGGGCCTGGCGGCGGGAGCGCGGACCGCCGCTACGTTGCTCCCCTCAGGCAAACAACCCACGTCCGCCAGGCAAGGACCGGGAGGCGGCGGGGCAGGGGCGCTGCCAGGGCGGCAACACACCCGCGCGGGCACGAGCGCGGATGGCTCCTTCGCGCCGCCGCTGCCCCGCGCGCTCCTGAGCGCCCGGCCGGCCCTACGCGGGAGCGCGTGCGCGGCGGGAACGGCGGGTGGCGAGCGCGCGTGCGCGGTGGGTCTCGGGCCCTGCCTGCCCGCCGGGCCCCACCCAGCAACACCAGAGCCTCGCTTCCATTGGCCGCAAAGACGCGTCGCTGCCGCTCCGGGCTCCCATTGGCAGAGGCGGGAGTGCGCCGCTCCCGACAGGCTCTGCGCGGGGGTGGCGGGCCTGAGGCGGGCGGGCCTGAGGCGGGCGGGCCTGAGGCGGGCGGGCCTGAGGCGCCTGCGTGGGGCCGGGCGGCCCGTGGGCGTGGGTGCTGGCCGCAAGGTCCCCACGCTGACCCCGAGGCGCCGCTAGTGGCCCCGCGCGCGGCCTTCCCACCCAAGCCGCCCCTCTCGGGCTCGTCCTTGGTCCCCGTGGCTTGGCGCGTCCGCATTAACCGCTGTCTTCACTTTGGGGCTGCGCTGACCGCGAACGCTACGCCGGCCGTGGTGGCGGCGAGGCGCCTGTCTCGCACCTTTACGGGTGTTCACGCCTTTGCTTTGAAATACAGCCCTAGAAGGACACGTGGTTGGCCCCGAAGGAGCCCCGGCAGCCATGTCGGACCGCGAGGTGACCTTGGAAGGCGGGAGGACGGACGAGGAGGGGCCTGGGGCCTGGCGGAGCCCCACTGAGAGGGCCCCATCTGCGCTCCGAACGCGTGGGCGGTGTGTCTGATGGCGCGAGGGTGGCTGTGGCGGCCTGAGCGGCGGGGTCGTGCACCCATGCCGCGCGTCTGTTAGTGAGGCTGGACTGTCACCGTTCGGCGAGCCCCAGCAGTTCTGGCTCCGGAGGTCCACACCAGGCCGGCCAGAGCTTGGCGGGACCTACGTACCCTTCTGTCCTCGTCCACGAGCTTCCTTCCCCTTCGTTTCACAGGTGCTGATACCACGTAAACATTGTCATACCCAAACTCAGTCGCAGCATCTGCTCCTGGAGAAACCGTTCTGCAACAGTTAAAGCTGTGAGAAGATGGGAGTTGAGGCTGCATGACTCACCAGTGGTGAAGTAGGGGGTGAACTAGTGAAATGGAATACCTACGTGGGTAAAGTATCAGACATTTCATACACGGCGAACGGAGTAGCTATGAGGAAGGAAAAGGGGATTGCTTAGTGCCACCGAGTCTCTTAAGAATGGTGGACAGCCATATGCTTACCTGGTAGGGGCGATACCGTGATCACAAAGGTGGTTTTACCAGGGCGAGGCTTATCCATTGCACTCCGGATGTGGTGACCCCTGCCGATTTCCCCAAATGTGGGAAACTCGAGTGCATAATTTGTGGTAGTGGGGCACTACGTTCACGCTCTCCCCGATCTCTTTTTAAGGAAGAAAAAAAAAAAAGGTGGATAGCCGAAGGCAAGCAGCAAGCAGTTGAAAGCCAGTGAGGCTGTCCCGTTGCATGCAGGGAAGCTTCATTTACTGCAGCAGGACAAAGACAAGAACCAGGCCCAGGAATTGACATCCCTGTTTGACTGAACTCCAAAAATGGCAAAACGCCCAAACAAGGAAATACTATTCCACTAAGTTTGGAGCCTGCTAATAAGAGATGAGGCGGGGCCCAGTGGCTGACACCTGTAATCCCAGCACTTCGGGAGGCAGAGGTGGGAGGATTGCTTGAGTCCAGGAGTTCAAGACGGGCTTGGGCAACATGCAAAACCCTGTCTCCACTGGAAACACAAAAAATTAGCCAGGCATGGTGGTGGCCATGGCTGTGGCCCCAGCTCCTCAGGAGGCTAAGATGGGTGGATCACCTGAGCTCTGGAAGTCAGGGCTGTAGTGAGCTATGATGTCACCATTGCACTCCAGCCTGGGCAACAGGAGTGAGACCCTATCTTTAAAAAAGAGACAGCAACAAACCCATCATATGTGGGTTGGAGATATCTGGGTAGATGCCTTCAAAGGTTTTAACTCCCCAAACTGCCTTAAACCTTTTTTATTTTTTGGAGACAGTGTCTTACTCTGTTGTCCAGGCCGGAGTGCAGTTGCTGAATCATGGCTAATTGCAGCCTCAACTTCTGGGCTCAAACCATCCTCCCACCCCTAAGTAACTGGGACTACATGCATGTGTCACCATGTCTGGTTAAATTTTTTTTTATTTGTAGAGGCAGGGTCTTGCTATGCTGCCCAGGCTTGTCTGAAACTCCTAGGCTCAGGTGAGCCATCCCACCTGACCTGCTTTGAACCTGAAGCCTACCAGGGTGGCTCACCTCTCGTATGAACCTACCACTCCTCCTCCTCCCTCCCCCCACATACTGCATACTGGATGGATAATTATGGTGGTTTCTTTTGCGTTATTCAGCTGGAAGCAATGAGATAGAAAAGAGACTTCCTCCCTCCCCTTCAAAAGAATTGTGTTATTAGTTTGCTAGGGCTTCAGTAACAAATTGGACAGACATTTATCGTCTCAGAGTTCTGGAGGGTAGAAGTCTGAGATGAAGGTGTTCACAGGGTTGGTTTCTTCTGGGGCTGGGAGGGAGAATCTGTCTCATGCCTCTGTCCTAGCTTCTGGTGGTTTGCTGGCAGTCTTTGGTGTTCCTTGGCTTACAGACGCATTGCCTCAGTCCTGCCTTTATATTCACATGTTGATCTTGTGTGTGTGTCTGTCCAAATGAAGGCATAAATAACATTGACAAAGGTCATTAGATGTGGGGCTTTTTTTTTTTTTTGAGACAAGTTTTGCTCTTGTTGCCCAGGCTGGAGTGTAATGGCCCCATCTTGGCTCGCCACAACCTCTGCCTCCCAGATTGAAGCGATTCTCCTGCCTCGGCCTCCAGAGAACCTGGGATTACAGGCATGTACCACCATGCCCAGCTAATTTTTTGTATTTTTAGTAGAGATGGGGTTTCTCTATGTTGGTCAGACTGATCTCAAACTCCTCAACCTCAGGTGATCCACCTGCCTTGGCCTCCCAAAGTGCTGGGATTACAGGCGTGAGCCACCGTGCCTGGCCATGGGCCTGTTTTTATAAGGACATCATTCATACTGGATTAGGGCCCACCCTAATGAGCACGTCTTATCTATGAAGACACATTTCCAAATAATGTCACATTCACAGGTACGGGGGGTTAGGGCTTCAGTATCTTTTGAGGGGGACACACTTCAGCCCTTAACAAGCTGTAACACCCAGCCAACATGCCCTGATGGGAGCTGGGAAAGTTTGGGACTGGATTATGAGGGTGGTCAGTGAAGGGAGCTGGTATGTAAACTTGCATAGATGTATTTATTGAAATACGAGATTTAACACCTTGGCCAAGACTGGGTGCAGACTTGCTTCAAGGTTGTCTCCTAGAATGGTGGTATATCTATTGCTACATAACAAATCACTCCACACTTAGTGGCTTAAAAGAAGAATCATTTATTATCTCTAGGTTACTGTGGGTCAGCCACAGTATGGATTGGTTGTCTCTGTTCCAGTGTCTGAGGCCTCAGCTAGAGCAGCTCAGAGGCTGGAGGCTGGAATGATGTGATTTCATCTCCTCCAATGTCCAACAGCTAATGCTGGAGATTGGGTGCAGCCTAGATTGGGCACACTCCTGCATGCCACTCCCTGTGGCTGTGGCTTCCTCACAATACGGTGGCTGATTCCAAGAGCAATCTAAGGACAAAGGAAACCTGTATCTTTTGTGAACCAGCTTCAGAAGTTACATACCATCACTTCTGCTACTTCCTATTTGTTAGAAATGAAGTCACTAAATCGCCCATATTCAAAGGTAGAGGAATTAGGGTTCACCTTCTAAAGGGAAGAATAAAAAACATTTGCCGGCCGGGCACGGTGTCTCAAGCCTGTAATCCCAGCACTTTGGGAGGCCGAGGCGGGTGGATCACGAGGTCAAGAGATCGAGACCATCCTGGTCAATATGGTGAAACCCCATCTCTACTAAAAATACAAAAAATCAGCTGGGCATGGTGGTGCGTGC